TGGGGGCGATATGCTGACTCTGTAAACCGCTTAGAGAGGGCTGAAAGCCCTATGAAGCGGTATATAAGTCTAACTGCTATTGCTATTGATGTTCTTCAGATGATATGAGCAGGGGTGGAATTGAAAAATGTTAACAACTGGTTCTCTACTCGGTTGCTGGCTGGGTGTGGCCATGTGGGCATGGCTTATTCAGCCTCCTGCACCATGGCGGCAGAGGGGGGGGGGAAGGTGTTTTCACTTTCCCCAGGTTCCAGAGTCTTTCTTCAAGTCTCCAAGAGGTCAAAAATGTCCTCCACTGGGATCCGGAGGCCCTGTGGAGGCTGGAAAGAGGCCCGTTTCTGGACTTCCAAGAGGCCAAGGCTTCAAAGGATTTCTTTGAGGCTCTGGGAGGGCGAAAATGGCCTCCTTGGGCTTTGGAGGCCCTCTGGAGACCAAAAACAGGTCTGTATTTGGACAAGTATTTCTGTTAGGCCCATTTTTTGATCTCCCCAGGTTCCGAAGGCTTTTTTCGAGCTTCTGGGAGGGCAAAAACGCCTCACCCGGGCTCCGGAGGCCCTCTAGGCTTTTTTCCGGACTTCTGGGAGGCCCATTTTTCACCCTTCCAGAACCTCCACATAGGCCCTACACTTACCTGGCTTGATGAATGGGCTGCGTGGAGACTCCTGGGAGGGGAGGGGCAAGTCCTTGCAACTACTGGTTCAGCAAACTGGATGTAAAATTAACATTCGGTTTGCCCGAACCGGTGCGAACCGGCCAAATCCCACCTCTGGATATGAGACTGTGTCAGTATATAAGAATTTATGTGCTGGAATAGCCATAACAACAAGTCAGCCAATGGGAACTGTTTGGTGACTAGGAGACAGGATCTGTTGTGAGCCATGTGAGACAGCTCGGAGCCTGGGCGTGGCTTAGCTTAACTGTCCTGTGCATTAATAAGAGTTCATTTGTTCTTGCAAGACTGCACTGCTTCTGGTTCAGCTTCTGGTTCTGGTTCTGGCTTCTAACTTCTTGTCTTTGTACTTGCTACCACGTTGCAAAAGCTGCCTGGGTATTGTATACATGCATCATGTTTTATATTATTGTATATAACCGTGATCCGACAAATGTGCGCACAACAAAAGTGCGCCAACAAAACCGCGCCAACAAAACCGCGGCGCTAAAACTGTGATATCATAAACGCGACGTCATCAACGTAGCGACAACAGCGCACCGACAGAAGCGCAATTTAAGTTAAGGTAAGGTTTAGGTTTAGGTTTAGGTTTAGGTTTAGGTTTAGGTTTAGGT